TCACCCAGGGGAATTGATTTATTGTGATACAAAAAATTAAGTTGCTGACACACTGACTTTTTTTTTGGTTGTTTTTAAATCAGTGCTACCAACATTAAGAGGCAGAAATAGGAACTGTGTGTTTTTGAACAATGACTAAATTGGAATATGAAGGTAACATCATGCCCCAGTCTTGCGCTGTGTTCCTTCTGTCTATTCTAGGACTACAAGAACTTCTTCATACAGAGAAGCACAAACTTGCACGCTGCTTATATGTTGTTTTCCCCCCAACTTAGAACAGAGAAGATGAGCTGGCACTCCTGCTATAAATGGCAATGGAAATGAGGGTTTACGCTATTCTGACTTAAAGTTTCTCTCTGAACCTAAAAATCTTAGCAACAGTCTGCAAGAGTTTAAGTTAGATCAAGGATGGGAAATGCAAGTGGCTTTCTTCTATTATCAATGAAAAGCCTCACTCCTAGTTTGTTCTGTCAAGAGACAATATCGTCATACAAGTTTGCTTCTTCCACATCTAATTTAACGTAATGCTACAGTTTGACAAGTCTTTCCAGTTCTAACGGGCTCAAATGTCAGCCGCATTTGCAACAGAGATTTACCTTTTACTGTAACTGAAAACATTTTAGATCAGTATTCAATTTAGATTCCAACACTTCAAGACAAGGTTTCTTTGCTTATATAACATTCCTATGTTCCTTCTCCCTTGCTAAACGAGCCGTTCTGTCAGCTGAGAGAGTGCATGAGAGACTGAAAACATGTCAGAATACCCCAGATGTATCTCAGTACATTGTAAATTGTATGACTAAATGGAATGATTTTCCACAATTTAATACATGGATAAGGCTTGACAATCATTAATTTTTGTAAATTGTTATTAGGATAATACAGTCAACTCACAAAACCCTACAAAAATTTGACAATCAAAATGGCTACACCAGGAAAAAAAAAAAGTGTAAAGCACAAGTCTTTGGCTCTCCTTTAAAGAAAAACAGCAGTTTACCATGTTTATACAGATCCCCTGTTTGCCTACCAGTAGGGGCAATATCACATTTGTGCATCACTGAGTAATAACACCATTAGAAAAGGCAACTTCACAGAAGTTATTGGCTAAGCGAATTCATTTGAATGCTCTGTTTTGAGGCAGCAAGCTGTCACTGTTACACAATCAGGGAGGGTGTATGGGCAAGCCACAGAAGGAAAGGAAGGAAGGTGTGGACAAAAGGGAGAGAATAAGGATCAGAAGAAAGTAGACAGAGAAGAACTTAAGAAAGGGGTAACAGTGCTGCAAGTTTGAAAGGTGCTTTGATCTAAATAAAAAAATCCTCTCTGAAATGGGACCGGATACAATAGTACACAAGAGGGGCAGATGAAAAAGTGGAACTTTCTCCTATTAAGGAAAGAGAACTAGGTCATAGGAAAGGCAGAAGAGATGACGACAGAAGGAGGAAGAGAAGAGTAACACGACAGAACAAACAAACATAATTTCTACACCGACTGAATCACTGACATACTAAAGCTTTACTAACACTTGAAGCTTCCTGTTCTGGGGAGTTTGTCTGTGCTGGGGCTGAAACCCAGGTATCCACCAGTGTTCGAAGTTGTCTCCTACAGTAGAAAAATCTAGCCTGCCTACCAAATGATGCAGTAGTGCCCTAACACCATTATAACACTGTTTCTTCTTGCCCAAGTAGAAGGAACTAAAGCACTTTCTAGCTGAGACCTATTTCACTGAGGTGGACACCATTCCTGTACAACTGGGACAATGATGGGCTATAGAAAGGAATGTAGCAGGATACAGGGCCACCCAAGAAATTTTCATTCCCTGCTTATTTGCTGTAACCATCAATGGTTCTGTTATGTGTAGAGCTGTCTGCCCTCCCAGTTCTGCTAGTATGCTTTTCCAGACAAAAGGGAAAATTTTAGGTGCAGCTTCCAGAAAGACTCAAAAGCACACATTGCATTTTGCTGTTTAACTTGTTTAATCAACTGAACTTCTCCACAGAAGCAGGGAAAGGGCAAGAGGAGGAGGGGAAAAAAAACCCAAAGCAAAAATCAATACTGTTGCTGGATATTAAACAAACTATTTAACAAGCCAAACTATAATACTGGGCAAACAGGGCATTCACCTGGACACACTGATCACAACAAGGACACTATGCACAAAGTACAGCACGGAGAGCTGGATAAAAAAATAAAACCAACAGTAAGTTTTCCCGTCTAATCCACGGGTTTTGGAAGCATTCACCATATGCAGGCCAGCAAACAGAATAGCTCTTACTGCAGAATTTGTCTCAGGAGCAAAGGTAGAAAAAAAAAAATTAATTCCTAACCTGGCAAGGAAACTAGCTGGCACAAGTAATAAAAGGTTAAAAGTTTTTGACATTTTGTTTTTAGTGTTGAAAATGAATATGTAGATTCAAACATAGCATAACCGTCTTTGAAAATTCATTTTACACCAAGAATTACTGCAGTCAAACAAGGTACATTCTGGGCTCATCCTCCTAGACTGGAATATTGCACTAATCATCTCAACTAAAATGAGCTCCCCGCGTTAAAGCCACAGCAGGAAGAAGTAAACTAATTAAAAACACCAATGAGAAGGCTGACCTGACCGTGGTGCTCTGCACTTAAGGATGGGAGAACAGGGCACGCTGCCTGTTGTCAGTCGAATTGTGAGCAGGCTGCCAGGGAAACACGTTAATCCTCCTCATGCCCAGAGCAGAGAACAGAGCAACAGACCTGATGGGCTCAAAACTGCCTCAGCCTAGCTCTGCTCGGCTCAAAGGGGAGCGGCTGTGACGCTAGGCCTCAAGTAGCGGATACGGAGGGATGGGGGCAAGGTGTAGATGAAGCTCTTCTAGTGCAAAGATGATTCTTTGCCAAAAGGTAAGAGGGGTTAGAAAAAAAGCAAGCTCCAAAACTACTCTTGGCAATTAAGAGGCCAAAGTTCAACTAAGAGCGAAATAAACCCGTGCGAAGACATATGGAAAGTGTGGGCGTGTGCGCTGAAAAATGCCTTTATTTTCATTCAGTGCTTCTACCTCCCAGACATTTGATCACAACAGCTGCGCTCATGCGAAAAAATTCTTAAAACATACCCAATATATATACAGATATAACTATGTATATATGTATATATATATTTATATATAAATTTTTATTTAAATAAAAAAGAAAGCTCGAATCCCAAGCCAATATGTGTATCAAATCCTTGACCAGCCAGGTCTGTAGGGCATAATCAAATTCAATGTGAAATAGTATATAAACGCGGTGCCTTGACTGGGCAAATTAAATAATTGCTACTCAAAAGAGTCTTCTGTTTGGACTCTCCTACTGGTAGGCAATAGTGGGACTGTATCCCCTCCCACCCCCCATTTTGTTTTATTTAACAGTATGATGAATGCAAAGCTTAGCCCAAGGTTGCTATGACCTCAGCAGGAGTTAAGGTTAAGGAAAAAACTAAAACCCAAGAAAATTATTAACTCTTGCTTTACCCAACCAAAGCAATGCAGTAATTTATTACATAACCAGTGCTTTCCAATTTAGTAGTCTAACCCAGAAAGAAAAAAAATGAGAACAGGCCAAGAAGGTGCAGAGGGAGCAGCACTTCAAAATCTTTCTCCACAGAGTTCTTTGTTTACAGGGTCTCACCCCCGTGCGTGTCAAGTGTCAAAAAATGTGCAGCAAGAACAAAAATTTCTTTCATTTCTTGAACTCTTAAAGAAAACATCTAGAAAGGCTTACCGTTTCTCCAGCTTATGCTTACAAAGCATCTATTTGAAGAAGTAGCACGCTAGATCTAACAACCAAAATTTGCTTTTCAGCACTTCTGAACTACTTCAGACAGGATCCATGCTGTACCTCAAGTGGTCATTTTGATGCAACTTTCTTTTTAAGAAAGGGGAACCTAGGAAAGATTCACCACAGCAGTGGCAGACAAGCCACAGATTGATTCTCAGGTGTCAAAATACTAATACACACAGACCGGAAACAATGCCAACTTCAAAAAAGAAATAAAAATTCCCCTCTGCTTTTTAAATATTGCCATCATTGATGCACACAAATCAAAGATGTTGGTCTCCTTCAGTAAAAGGCCCTCACAACAGCATTACAGTTAAATAACTGATGTGTCACTGAACAAAAGAAATAAAAAAAAATAATCAGGTTATAGAAGATATTTTTTAACAATACTACTAAAATAGCAATGAAAAAAAACACAAAGGCAAGAGTTGCTGAGAAGGAGGCATACATGAAAGACCTGTTTCAAAAGGCAGAGGTCAGTTAGTGCCTCTGCATCAACTCAATCGTATGGACTTTGGGTAAGCTTATTTTAAAGCTATAGTGAGAAGGGGGAAAAAAAAAAACCCCAGCAAACACTGGATGAAGTAACATGGGTTACCAGCTCATCTGCAGTTAACATCCTTCCAGCAACTGCATAACCTTATGTTCTCTCTACTCCCTATTTCTAGACATTCTGCCTTGGTCACGGCTGCACAACCTTCACTGGTTAGTTAAGCTTCTCTACCACAAGCCCCAGTTAACCGGCTTCAGAAACACCCATGCCGTAGTAGACTAGTCTGCATTCTGCTGACCTCTTTAGTCCCAACAGAAAATAAAAGGCCAGCAACCTTCAAATAAAATAACGTTATGTTGGACACTGATTTAGATATCCTCTTTAGTTACACACGCTGTGCTGGGACATACACGAAGGACTGCACTTGTTGCATTGCAAAGATTCTGCCACTTGTAATTTAAACTGAAATCATTTAAGCAAGCAGTCTCGCACAAGCCGGGGTTCAGTTCCTACCCACAATGGGCGGAATTCTTTTAAGAATGCAGTTTGCTGCACATCTTTTGACACTACAAGTCACAGCTACTCTCTAACCCTCATTCCTTGTTTACCCTTAAACCATACAAGGAAGTGGCCAGGTTGTTTTAGTCTTTGAGAAATTAACGTGATAAGGAATTATGCACTGGGTATGTAATAATACCAAAATAAAAGAAAAAACCTACTTCATTAAGATCATACAATTAATCAAACAGAGTATATATATAATATCTTTTTTTTAAGCCCTGGGATCCAAGGCGTCCAAAGTTATTAAAATAAAGTTCATTCACAGAACAAAAACAAATTTAATTTGAATCGCTTGCAGATACTGCTAATTTTCATTTTTTTAATTAAAAAATGCGTTAATGTGAACTATGTGCAGGATTTGTTTCTAGTAGTTGTGTTTGTGCACATTGCCTCTGGACCTGCTGCTCTGCTACTGCTGTTGCTCCTGGGTTTCTCCAATCACCCCTGGAAAAAAACGTGATGGAAGCTACCAACACCCCAGCAAAAGAAACTCTGGGGTAGGCTGGCCTCACTTCATGGAGCAGACGTGGGCGTAACTCCCGCTCTCTGGGAGTCGTGGTTGTCTCCTCCTCCCTCTGGGTCCTCTGACAGGCTGAGAGATGCCGTCTTGTTTGACAGGAGGCCAATGTTCTCTTGTGTCAAGGCTGATCCATTCGGAACATCACTGCTGAAAGAAAGTTGAAGAGAAAGGGGGAGGGGGTGAAGAGAAGTAGTTACTCAGATTTTTCATTTATTTTACAGGCTTCAATATGTGTTGCTGCGGCATCTCAATACACAGCTGTGAACATGGATAAACATGTAGAGACTTGCCTTGTATAATAAATAGGTTGTCTGGTGTGCTGCAGGTACTTCCCAGGAAGAACTAAAATAAGGCTAACAAAACCAACAAGACTACATATTTTTAGGCTTCTAGAGTAGTTATATTCTGCAAAGTATTTCAGTATATACCACAAGATATACAGTATCAATCTGTACAATGCACACATTCCAGAATATTTAACTTATCTGGATCATTCACCTCTCTTTTTTTCATTTTAAAAATTAAACAGTTGTTTCAATTTCATCACTTCCAGAATTTCATATGGAAAAATTAGTTTCCACTCTGGAGGCCTCAATCTAACGGTGCAGCACAGAACTCAAGGATTGGGACTTCATAAGCTATTGAGAAGTTTTCTGAATACATACAGTTTCTGCAAGAATATCCAGATTCCAAACTGCTCACATGAAGTTATGAAAGCTTGACTTAGCGAAAGCTTTGCAGTATTTGAGCTTTTCTGTTCAAAGTATTAGTCTGAATACACAGATTCTTGCAGCCATCTGAAAATGGTTGCTGTGTAGAGATTTCCAGCACTCCTAGCCAACATTTTATTTCAACTGACTATCAAATCTGAGTTCAAATCAATCCCAGGATCTACACAGATAAAAATTACTGCCTACAAGTAAAAGTGAACTTTGTTTCGAAATTACATACCTTTCCTAGACATCCACATCACAAACCTTAGCAGGATGGCATAACTTTCCTCTCACATTTGGAACATTTCTTTTCTTTGAAACTAAAACGGTAGATAAAGATTTCTTTTATAGTGTTTTTTTATCTCCTGCTCCTCCCTACTAATCATCCAGTATTTACTAGATGAACTTCTGTTCTTACAAACATTGCAATTATTCTGTTGACTTAAATTGATGTACAGTCTCATTCCGCTCACCTACTGATCAGCTGAAATGGCCCTTAATTCATGCTCACACTATAAAAACTTGAGTTGTATAATCTTTTCCTAGTAGATTCTTACCCATCAGAGAATGTGAGGCAAGGGGTATTATTCATGTACCAAAGTGACCCTGATTAAGTCATTCTCCTGTTGCACAAGAGGAAGGTTGAAAGACCCATGCTACCTGAATGTCAGTGCGAGGTCCTCAGCTGGAACCTTGCTTTGCGGTTCTAATTGTCCATTTTCTGTCTGTTTAGTGGTGCCCAGTTTGTTTTTTATATCCAGTGAAGACTGGTTCTCCTTCAAAAAAAGGACAGAAGAAAAACTCTTTAACATTGTGTCACAAGAATTTGAAACTTCATCCTTTGGGACTGGTGATGAAGGCCTGTAAATTGGAGCCATACAGTGTAACCCACAAAAGCTGTGAGACAAGAAAACAGACTCAGTAAGATATGCTCATCCTCTCAGCACAGAGTATTTCCTGAAAGGAAGCGATGATTCTTGTAACAAGCAGCAAAGACCATAGACCGTAACAGCACACAGACTTCTGAATGCTAGCCTGTACCTGTAGATGACGTTTTCGACGTTAAAGCAGTTTACACAACTCACGGCACAGTGAACTTGGAGACAATTCAGTTTTCAACAAATTCAGTGCCACACTAATTTTTAAATGGTGACAAAATAACAGCAGAATATTTTAAAGTGGCTAGAATTCAAATTCTTCACAAAGAAGAATCAAAAAAATTCTCAGGAGGTTTTGAAGAATAAAGAGGTGAAGAGGGAAATGGATGACTCCAGCTGTGGTCATCCAGCAGAGAGCCTTTTTGCCAGGGTGAAAGGGCTGCAGCCAGCTACACAGCTCTCCACCTCTCTGCCTCCCAGCCCCACAGCACTCACCATGCTCAGCTCACGGGTTCTCTTCCCAATTTCCCTTTCCACCTGGTGTAGCTCCAAGCTCAGCTGTTCACTTGAGATCATCCCAGGCCACTTGGGAGGTGGGGGTGGGGGCTGTGGTTGGCCTGCCAGGGTAGTCGCCTCCCTCTGCAACAGCAGCCTGTTACTAACAGCCTAAATGCATAAAGCCAAGCACATACACAACTGAGCACACAACACACCGAGCACAGAAAGAGCTCTAGACCATAACTAGAGTATTGTTTATTTGCAAAACCAAAGCCTTCTCTCTCTGTCCTTAACAGGGTCCCAATCAAAATCACTGCCAATGCAAGTTTAAATTTTTTTAAAATTGCATTTTTTACATGCAGACAAGTCTTTTCATTTTTAAACAAGCAGTGTTAAACACCCTTCACTAATAAATTTGCATGGGTTTTCCCCATATACCACTCCCTTCTCAAAACTAAGATGAAGCACATGAACAAAAACACAACTCTCTCTCGTGAGCTGTTTGTTGAACAAAAGCTAAGAGCAGATAAGCAAATCTGCCACTTTATTTTACAGTAGTACAATTTCTGAAATTCTACAGCAGAGCCAGTACTCTTACTAAATATAAGATATCTTGAGTGACACAGTTGTCAATATGTCGCTCTCTACTGACCCAGATTAGGAAGTACAGGAAGAGAGAAGGGCAAGTGACTACTGTCATTCACAAACTGCAAGTTACTAGCAGCCAAGTAAAAGCAGTAACCACGTCAGCCACTCCAAAAATCTGTTAATACTTGGGAATCAGTTCCATAGGTGCATGCTCTGCATTTAAACACACTATCTACTACTCCACACAACCAAACATCTGGCTGGTCTACAAGTAGAAATGCTCATTCGTTTGAGAAGAAAGCAAAATCATCTAGTTCTTCATGCTCAGACTGAATTAAGCGATTGCTACAACCTTGTAACAGGTAAATCAATAAAGCCTCCTGGATTTCAAATATCTACTTGAAGCTTTGAACACAAGAGATAAATTGAAAGCTGTTATTACTCAAAATAACATTACTTCCCGCAAATTCAAATGATGGTAAAAATCAAGGCTCAAAACTACGTAAGATTTAACACTGACACACACACTGTAATAATGGGCAGGACAGACAGGCCACTTACAGGTTTTGCAACTTTCCAATACTCCTCTATTATGGCAAAGGCAGACATGCAAGATTTAAAACTTTTTCTCCTCTTGTTCCCAAACAAAAGCACAAGAACACAAGTTACGCTTCAAGCTAACTAAGAAATGCATGCTACTTGTAACTGCTGCTGTGACTTAAGAATTGTGAGCTCTTACAGCTAATCTGCAATAACTCTCCTCTATAACATGTGTTATGCTTACCTAAGGGTAAGCATAGCTTCAGCAGAAGCTGCTAGCCACTACTTATAGCAATTCCTTCTGGGAAAACATTAATATGAATGGTTGCTGAGGTATCTAGAATAGTTTTCTGGTAAATATTTACTGATTTTTCCTGGGAGGAAACAAAAAGTAACTAAAGCTTTGCTAAAGCAATTCTTGCATTACAGCTTGACATTTCTCCTGTGTCTCACAAAGATTTCAGCTCATTAATTCTTTTATAAATGCAGACTCCCATCTTTCCTCATGTTGCAAGCGACTACATTTCTTCTAAGCAGGGAGACAAAATATTAAGCTTTAATTTTTCAAGCTAAGTATCTTCAATATTTGTATTCTTGACTCTTGTGGCTTGCACTGTTTAGTAAGAAACAGGTACAACACAAAGCCAAACACGAAAGAGATGAAGATCACACCTTTCTGTACATAAAGTCAGACATTTTCAATGGCAGTACAGCCAAGAGAAACAGGTATCTAAGCCACAAGTTTGCCCCTGAGTTAACAGATGAACAGAGAGGGGAAGTAAAACAAGAGAGAATGAAAGCAAACATGAACGAGCACAGAGTGCAGATTCAACTATGGTATTGATTTGCACGTGAAGTGCGGGGAAGCTTCTGCTGCTAAGCAGAGAGGACTTTTACCATAGTCCCCAAAGCCTGGCATCACAGAATCAAGTACTGTTACTGAGTATTGTTACAGTCAAGAGAATGATCATCAACACATGAGAAGCAGCTTTACTAGCTTCATCTCTCTCCATACCACCCCTCACCACTCTTCCAAGTATCGGTACCAACCTCTAGGCCTCGCATTTGTGTCTGCTGGCTAATCTGATGGTCTACTTGCTGCAGCTCCATGCGCAGCTGCTGCTCTCGCTCCGCTGAGGGCAATTGTTTCCCATGACAAGCCACATCTGACATGGACAGTCTCTCCCTTTGGGATCAGAAAAGCAAAAATAAGGAGTTTAAAAAAAAAAAAGCTTTACTCAGCTGGCACAGAAAAAAAAATATAAAGAAAAGTTAGAAAAAAAGGCAAAGAAAAAAATAAAGCAATCCTACCTGTCATTGAAACGTCCCTGAGAAGGTATATTTTGATGAGGAGAATATGGAGAGCCTCCCCAGCCACCGTGAGTTCCATAAGGATTGTAGTCTGTCAGTGAACAGGAAGAAAAACATGTTGCATTACTACAAACCTATCCTTTAAGTAGTTCAGCCAATATACAGAACTGGACAGAAATTAGAGAATAACCAGGAAGATCAGCCCTCTACGAGTGAGGAAGTCTAATGTTTCTTCTGCTGAAATGAACACAAAAAATACCATGTGTGACTAGTCTCACGTGCATAATGTGCATGACTTTTCCGGCATGTCCAACAAGATTTGCTCCAGCTTCCAGAGCCTATGAGTTTGTGAAGGACTTCAGACACGCAGGGGAATGGGGACACAAAAACAAACTCACAGCCACCATGAGAGCAATTACTTTTTTACTGAAGTTCCTAAAAGACTCAAGAATTGATTGATAATTCTGAGATACCTAGTTAACACCAGTTTGATGATTAAGCTTTCAGGGAAGCCAGAGTACTACCTGTGATAAAGTTTACCAAATTACTGCTGGAATTAAGCAAATGAGTTTGTTTTGTTTCCAGAAGTTAACTCCTGAAAAAAATCTAGAATGAAGTTTGCGGGATTATAATTCTTTTCTTAAGGTTATTCAGTGCACCTCAAGAAAGAGGCCATCTTTTGGAGTAAGATATACAGCCATACTTATACATGCGATTAGAAAAATAGATGTGTAGAAAATAAACCACTCCTACTTTATTTGCTTTGCCTAACATTATGCAAAACGATAATGTTTATTGTATTGCACTTTCAGCACCAACTATCCATAAAGGAGGAGTGCACTATGGTACTTCATTATGATGGTTTTGCATTATGTATTTAAGAAAGCAGTAAGTTTCTTGATTCTACTGCAACAGATTTAAAAGAAACCTCATCTCAGAGACCAGCAGAACGAAGTAACTTTTTCCAGACAGCAATAAATCACAAGCACATACACTACGCATGCACAAACCTGGAACAGGAAGCAGTGGCAGCCTTTTTCTTTGGGCTTCTCAGCGTAGCCCTACCTAGAGTTATTTTTAGTGGCGTAACATATTTCTAAGACAAGAAACAAGTTTACAGGGGTTGCCTTCAACTCGCACTACAATGTAGCACTAAACAAAATAGCAACGGCCAGCAAAATCCAAGAGCACATACCTGAAATGATCGATTTGGTAGTAGCTCCCTGAACCGCCATGGCCTGCATGGGACCCGAATTCTGGTACATCGCTTTGGAAGTACGAGAGATCGCCCCAAATCTCGACACAGTTGGTCGGTCTCCAAATGGAATGAGGTCATCATCACCAGTCTCTGCTGCTCTTCGCTGCATGTCTAATCGCTGGTCACGCATGGTTTTACTATCTACGTTCTAGACAAGACATAAAGGCAGCAGTCAAAAACTTAGAAATGAACAAAATCACATTCCTTTTACAAGCAGCTGGTACCAGCATAGTAAGTCTCTCTTGTGAATTCCCTTCATCCCTCAACTAGTCTTCCTATTCTTCAGTTTGCAACTCCACTGTTAGTGTGACGTGTCTTCAATGGTGTAACTTAAGATGACCATTACTACCACAACTGTGAAATAGCTGCACGATTGTGAACAAATCCAAGACAAGGGAGCAGCAGCAAAAGGAAATTAAGACAGAGAAAGTCTAATGAGGGAAAAAAAAACACCTTTCAGAATAAAGTCAAAGAGGAGGTCAGTGGGCATCTGAGGAACACATACTCCTACTGAAGTCTAAAACACATGTCCCTGAAGCCCAGTGTTAAGAACTGTATCATCTTAACAGCCTGGAGATGACTCAAAATGGGAATTATTCAGTACAGCACTTACTTGGTCATGTCTTGTACATCTTTTCAGGCACATTTTTCATTAGGCAGTAGTACTGCTTGGAAGATTCTGGTTTCTAAATCAGCTTCAGACTCAAAGACCTTAATGGGTCAGCAAATGACCAGATAAAACGTTCTATCTCTACTCAAAGAACTTTACCAAGAAAGGAAAAGATGTGCACAGAAAACAAGCTCGATTTAGCTAAGTCCATTTGACTTAACTTAGAAGAAGAAACAACAGATTATTATAAAGATTTTTAACAAAGCTTTTCCTGAGATAAAGTTAGGCCAGATTTGGGAGAAGTCACCCAAGTAGCTTAAAAACCACAAGTCAATGGGTTGTTTCCATGAATAAAAATTAATTTTAAAAAAGCTTCCTCAGCACAAAAGAAACAAAACAAAAATATACTCCCCCCTCAATAATCACCACATCCAGATAAACACAGATAAACACAAAACAGTAACAGAAATAAACACTCAACAAAAAAACCAAGGGAAAGACACTTAGTTAAATGGGAAAGCTATCTGTTAGCTGCCAGAAAATATAACATGGTAAGAATTGCCAAAATAGAGTTAAGATTTTGCTCAAGAAATAAAACTGTAGTAGTGCTGCGTACAGCAAAAAGAACAAGGTAAGTGGGGCTACTACACAAAAAAGACTGGTTAAAGGCTAAAAACTTCAGTACAGTCTAAAATTAAAATAAAACTCTGCAAGCTTTCAGTGAGGATAAGGATTACTAGAATCAGACCAGGTAACATAACTAAGGCAGGAATAAAGGGTGAAAACAGCAGTCACAACTGAGTTGGGAGCTAAACTCAAGAAATGTAACATGTTGAAATTGGAAGAGACATTAGACAGCATCTACTTGGGAATTCTGAAAGAAAAAGACAACTTAATTTTCAGTCTGTAGGATGCTAATACCAATTTTAATTTATTCCCATTTACTGAGTGGGGGGAAAAACACGTAGTGAAGTTGCAATGTCATCTGCATAAAATCCAGCATTATGCACTCTCAGATGATTCTATTCTGATCCTTGAAAAAACAGGAATCTCTCATAAGAGATTATGATCAATAAAAAAAAGTAAGAATTCACTTGCCGTCTGCAGTGAAGGTCTCCTGAGACTTTTTTCCTGTGAGAAGACAAGAACTGAAGAGCAGAGATCCTATTTACTTATCTGAAAATTGGCTCTTGTGCAGAAGAACACTTTGTTTAGCAATGAAAAAGGAGGCTGCTCCTCCAGAACCCTATTACCTCTAAATAAGTTCCAGTTTGTTTGCACAGTTTTCTAGCAGCAGAGATGAAAGACAAGAGCTGTTTGTTCGTTGCTGAATGCTGCCACTTGGACAGCAATAAGCTGATTCTGAGTGATCTCGGTATTTCCCCAGGTAAAATGTGAAAGCATTATGACTCATGGCAAAACACACTGTGTAGGACAGAGCAAAAGCACATGTAAAAAACCCAAAGCTGCAGACGAAATGCCTTTTCTTGCTCTGCTTTTTCTGGGAGAAAGCCTCCTTTTTGCTCCTGTGTCACACAGTGCCTTCAAGATCTTACAGGAAAGAAACGCAGTGGACAGAAACCAGATGCATTTAATTCTAATGAGGCAGAGGGGAAACAGGAGAAGCTAGACAGAAAAATCCTATCATTTAGTTAGGTGGTTGCAACAGGTGAGCACCTGTCCACAAAAGAAAAAATTCTGGATAGAAATTTCTTCCCCCTCCTCTTACTGGCCAAAGAAACATCACCATGACAGTGACAATATATAAACAGAAGATGACAGCACACACTTGCAGATGAGAGGTGAAGGAGAAGAACAGATGCATCTCTGTAAAATAGTCCCTCAAACTAAACAGTCCTTGCTCATGAAGACTTGAATGTCTTTCTCCTTGCAAGGGCTACGAGCATACTTCTTGCTGCTGAGTGGTGCATAAAAGTTAGGAAGAAACAAAATAGTGGTAGTATTTCCAAATCCTATTTCTTTTCTTCTACATTCATGACTACCAATAATGACACCCTAGGAGCCCCTTTTTGCAAAACTGACCTAACAAAAATGCAGCAGCACAAAATAAGATCACAGCCAGACACCCATGGCTTCAGTGAAGGGCTGAATAAGCACAGCATAGAGTTAGAAATTGCCCTCAAGAAGAATCAGCCTAGTATTACGTTATGACTATGCTTCTGTCAAAAGCTTCATCCGAGTTTTGGGTACTCTTGTGGTCACAAATGATAAAGACTCCTTCAAGTCAAAACTAATTACATTGTTAACAGCAGTTGCAATTAGCTTAAAAGGAATTAATAGCACAAAGTTAAGTTACAGCATCTCCCTCTGACAGAAAGTACCACAGGAAACAACAGATGGACATGTTTAATTAACAAGCTGCCAGAGTAATTTTTGGATTTCAACTAAGTGTAAAAAAACATGGCAAAATATCTTTTGATATCCATGGCTTTAGAGCAGAGTGGTTAGTTTGCATCTATATCCAGAATTTAACAGAGCTACACAGATGCAGGACTGTTCATAACTTCGAAAGCAAAGCATTCTGCACACTTGCAAAAGCATTCTTTGACTGCAATGCACTTCTGAGCTTAAAAACAAGCACTGCTGTCATCTCAGAAAGCAAATGAAAGAGTCCCTCCCAACCCACAGAAGGATCAGCTTTTCTCCTGTGTTCCCCCAATCCCTACATACCGCCATCTCCACACTCCTTGCTGCCACAACATCTTTGGGTTTTGCATCTTTGGTTCCAATGTAGGAGCCGATGGTGTCACAGGACCAGGGAGAGTACTGGCTATAGTCATTTCCTTTGTATTTCCCAGCTACCTTCAGGTCTTCATCCAAGTACTGTACAAAAACAAAAATCTGGTTCTGTAAGTGAAGGGAAGAAGCAGCTTCACAGCCACCGCTACTTAGGTTCAACAGCAGTGCACTTGAAAGAAAAACACCAAGATAAAGAAAGTATCTGATACATCACCATTTGGAATTGGGCCATGGCAAGTATGAAATGTGTGAAATTCTGATCACTTGGCTACGCTCCCAGTGCTGACTATTCATTTGGCCAGCACGAAAGTGGTATTTTGACCTTGGTTGAAAAAACAAACCTCTATCAAGCTGTTACTTAATTCTGAACATGTCAGAAGCAAATGAGCAAAGTCCAGTAACCGTCAAGACTGACCACTTAGAATCATAGAATCATTTAGGTCAGAAGAGACCTTTAAGATCATTAAGTCCAACCATTAACTTAGCACTGCCAAGTCCAACACTAAACCATGTCCCTAAGCACCACATCTACACATCTTTTAAATACCTCCAGGGTACCTTCAGTTAATAACGGCTCAAAATTAATTCTCTTGGTTGTACTGAAAGCAGATAGCTTAGTATCAGTGGTAGAACAGATAATCAACAGCCAACTGAGAGACTGGAGGCTGCATTGTAAGGGCTTCCCACCTAGAGCACAAAAGGTAGCCCCTCCACCCCAAACACATGCTAACACTGTACTGTTCTAATTTTCTTGTTGTCTTCACCTATCAGCACACACAAACTCCGAAGTATTTTCCAAATGTGCTCCTAAGTCACATTTTTGTCAAAATATGCTTACCTCCTCTGAATGAAAAGGATGAGGCAAGGTTGGTGATGGTGCAAAAGGAGGTGGAGAAATCACCTTCCTCTCTTCTAGCTGGGCCATGATCTCTTTCCTTCGCCGGTGAAGTTCATCCAGGCTGGGATGAGGCTGAAATGAGGACAGAAATACGTTACAAAGCTCCTGAAGCATTAATGCACAGAACCAGTAATTTAAAAAAATTTGTTGACATCCCAAACAAAATATGGCAACCATATATTGCAAGAAAAGGAAAATACAGTCATAGACAGTATCATTACAATAATAAGTAACAATCGCTTAACAAAGTCTATCTGTTAACTTTCATGTTTAACATAGGACATACATGTTTGTACACTGGCCAGAGCGTTAGCTCAAGACACCCCAGAGGCTGGGAATGTTATTTGCCTAAAACTGATTAGATTCTCAACTAACTCAGCTAATCTTTTAACTCACAGGTAGCTCAACATTGCCAAGTTGGAACACAGAGTCATTTCCACTGGAGTATGGCAAGTCCCCATTTCAGTCATATGGCAGAAAGTGGTAGAACTCTACAGATCATAACCTAGTCACAGTTAGTTTTCACTTAGCATTCATTTTGCAATAGAATTAAACATCCCACAAATGCGTCAAACTCAAAACTGATAAATCTACAAGCTATGTTAAAAATGCTTCCTTGACTCAGCAATATTAAGGACAGCTACATGAGTCCAACTATTCTACAGGACTCAATTCCAGTTGGTGATTTACCAAACAAGTTTGTACACTTCTGCTCGGAAGACTCTTCAGTTAGGAATCTTAAAGAGAAAACATTTGGAAGCGCAGTATTTTTAGTTCCTTTATCAAGGGACATATGTTTGCATATTTATTTATTTAGGCACAGAGATGGGCTGTACAAGAATGCACACATGACCATTTGCACATGCTGTATTTAACCTGCACGAGAAAGAGTGGCCCTCTCCAGCCTAATTTTTGTTGAAGTCAGGGCCATATGATACTCCCAAAATTAATTACAAGGCTTTTCTACTTCAAGCACTAAGTAGCGGCCTGCTCTTTTACATATTAACATCATTACAATTGCAGAGTTGACCAGTAACTAAACTGCCTTCCAGTTTTTAATCAGTTTCATCAAATGTACCCCTCCTTAAAGTTCTAACTTTTAATTCCTCACAAAAAACATCACCGTAAGAGGCTGAATATTTTTGCAGTAAGTAGTTTATATTTTCTCCCTCAACCAACTACAAAAACACAATATAAAAACCATACCCTGTGGCACGAAGGTCTGATCTGACTGAGATGTGGAGCCACTGGGCAATAACCCTCTGTTTGCTGGTATCTGTCTCTGGATTCAGGTACGTAGGAAGGTACAGCTGCTTGTGGAATTTCAATGGGTACAGGGCTTCCTCGGACAATCTCCTCTCGCTGATATGGCTGGACAGGGGGATATACACGACGGCTGTCGTAGTGTGGTGGGTATATGGGTTGTGCCATAGGAGGGTACTGCTGCGGCTGTGTGTACTGTGGGCTCACCACACGATCCTGAAGGTAGGGTGGGTAATGGTCTAAATAAGGTGGACCAGGTTCTGGAGCTGATGGAGGAGGTCGGACAAAGCGAGACATGGACTGAGTGGGATAGTAGACTCCTGAAATAGAGCAAGAGGGGGAAAAAAAGAAAAACACACAAACAAGATACAGAAAGTGATTATCACAACTGTCCACAACCAAATTGTTTCAAACACTCCAGTCTACAAGTACCATGAAGAGAGTGGTATAAATTAATTCACATTTATTGTTTGTCCCCACTGTCTAACTGCTTTTCTACTCAAAAATTAACCACAGAAAACTTTGACAAAGCAAAAGTTGATCCAAAACTCAAGTGACACAGTTTTATTATCTAAATAAGATACCAGCAAGGTGTAAAGGTTACAGTAGCTGGAGAACAGATGGCGAGATGGAGTCCACCACAGGTGCCAGAAAAGTCCTACTAGCATACCAAACAGAAATAATTCACTAGAATGTCTCTGCAGATTGATAGGAATGCTTTAGCTAGACAAGAACCAAAAAGTAAACTGAAGATTAGCCTGTACATCTTTATCCACATAACTAAAATTTAATTTGTCCCAACGTTTCAGAGCCACTGCCTTTGTAAAGAAACTTGGATTAATTTGAATTTAAAGTTATCCAAACATTTATTCTACCTTTCTTGAAGGAAATTTCAGCACTGTCAATCAAAGACTTCCAAGATCACATCTCCCAGCTATATGAAGATATTAGTAATCTATCTGGGATCTTCAGATAATTTAAAAATATGCACGAATATGTGCACACCATTAACAATGTGTGCATCAAATTTTGTGGACAACTCAGATCTTCATTTGCACACAATAAGCTTTATTTTTTTCCTTCAAAATGCTCTGCAACTTTGTCAAAAATGGGCGCGTGTGTGTCCCCTCCCCTCCTAGGGCAGCTTCTTCTTCTTTCCACTTCTTTTGATGTTCCATTCCTTATTATAGTTTCACATTAAATTCACTTAATATCATTGCTCTCTCTAATCTTACATTGCCTAAGAATCATCCCCTGTCTTTATATATAGCCATACCTTTTCTTTTACCCCTCTGCTGGCTAAGTTTTATTTCCATTTTTCCTCCCCAAGTTAAATTGAATTAAGGTTTACCATGTTAGATCCTTGATCTAGCCCAGTTGGGAAAAACTGAAGAAAGAAGGATTTGCTACCCTGGATGGATACAAACCTCTGTTTTCACTGGCATTAAAGTCCTCAGTTAAGATGTAAAAAGCCTGCCGATTTCCCTTTTACTATGCCATCACCACATTAGTGCCTATAGTCCACATGATATGCAAGTGAACTTCCAACTTAAGAACTCAGATAAACACCAGAAGGGCAAGAAAGAATAAAACCAGTATGAAGATGAAAGACAGACTGCTTGGTCTCAAACTTACCTTGTTGGTAGGGTGCTGGCTCAAATGGTGGGGCAGCTCCTCTAGGATCTTGATAAAACATATCTGCTTGCTGCGCGTTATACAACTGAGACCCTCGTGGTACCATTTGCAACTGCTTAGTGACAGACACTGAAGGCAGATCCGTCGGTGCCCGAGCAGGCACAGGATGAGGGTTCACCGGTAAGGCAGAAATAGAGCTCTTGGGCACAGGCTCCAGCCTAAAGCAGTAGAAAGAAACACTGTTCTTTGTCTACATTCCACCTTCTAAAGGCTTACACCACCACCTCCAATTAAGATATAAGCAAACAAGGAAGTAAAGCAGCTCTAGAGTTTTAGCTGTAGTTTTCTACTCTACTCTTTAATCCCTTAAAAAAAAACCAAAAAACCCCCAACCCCTCTCCCCCCAAAGCCCTGTTCTGTTTCTTTCCCACAGAATGGGTTTACTTCGTTTCTACTGCATATTTACACACATGACACTGAACAACAGTTAGGAAGACCCGTACAAGTCAGGAGGGGATCCAGGGGCACTGCTACTCAGATGGTCCATCTTCCCTGGCTTCAGAGCAGTTTCGTAACTGGAGTCAGTCCCTCGAGAAATAAGTTGCGTCACTGTGCTGCCTGTTGACACAATTCCATTTGGCAGAGCAGAAGTTTTCCTATTGGGCAAGTCCACTCCCCCTTCCTCCGAGAGGATAGCTCCTGAAGGCAGGCCCACCTCATTTAGTTGGCCCAGGGAGGCACTCAGGGGTCTTCTGGGAACCAGACGTTTGTTCATTTTACGGAATCTTCAGAGAAAGAAACCACAGGTCAAAAATGGAAACAAGAAACTAAAAGGAGTTGCATTTTGAAGGCTTTTCACACACAGATGCTACCTATAATGACAGAAGCTTCAGGGTAAGACTCACAGGCTATAAGCCTATTTTCTTCAGAGAAGCAACTAACAGCAGACAATTAAAGCGACAAAAGATGAACAGATTCCCCTTTGTACCATTTGCTCAAGCCTTTATTGCCACGTGGTATCTTTTAAAGCAGTTTGTTAAGATTTATGTTGCTATACCTATATGTAGCTTACACTGTGCTGTTTGATAAATTAAGTGATTGCAGAGATAAAAACTCTATGAACACACTGTAATTCCAAAAATCTTAACTGCTTCTGTTAAGTCTGAACAAACATAAGCCTTTTAACTCATGTTCCACAAAAATCAGCAGACAGATGGTACTGGACCAATGAAGAGATCAAATTCCAGAGTTGAAGGTCCTCCACTAAACATCCTGCCATTAGCTTAGATACCAGAATGCAAGTGGGAGGGCGTATTTGTAGGCCTGAGTGTTCCTGCTGTTTATATTGCGGAACAAGAGGCCATTTCCTATGCCAAGAAGGTTTCAACAGGGTTGAAACCAACACTTTCATATCATACCTAACAAGCAAAAAGGAGATGGTAACACAGACTAGGAAGGTACACACGTTACTGCAGAAAACAAAAGGGGGCAGTTATACTCTCTTACTCAATCTTCAGATAAACTCTACATTTGCCCACACGCACAGCATTAACAGGAATGCAGAGGCAAAAAGGCTTTTTTTATTGTTGTTTTGGTTTTTAGATGGGACCAAGTATAGAGTCAGACCAAGTGTAATCTTGCTATATAGATTTCAGCTGTTCATCGACTATCTTCTAGCCACCTTCCTAACTCACCATCAACACCCCAATTTCCTGGCTGGATTAATCTTTACCAACATAATCAAACTATAAATTCAAGCTACATAGTGTTGACAGTGGACATCATTCAGAATGCATTAAAAGGGAGCAAACAAACCAGGCTATCACCACAGTAGAAGCACTTGAGTAGGGACAGACTACAGTTTTCTAAACATAAGCTGCTCAGAAGTTGTTCTGGCACCTCACGTCAGCCATGCAGGTCAGCTAGACACATGGAGATGAACAGAATTGAGGTCCCCGGGCTGAACTTACTGCTTTACTTTGGCATCCTGCTCAATACCCAAAACAGTTTCTCCCTGCAAAGAGGCAGCGGGAGGTTAGGAAACCACTGCCACGTTCTCCCTGCCAATTACTTCTGGACATCTGCCTCCCATCACGTTTCTTAGAGGTGCAGTGTCTTACGGCTCCTGACTATGTGAAGACTTGCACACAACTTGCAAGATGAGGAGGACTGGCCATCCCTGCCCGTTCATGTAGAGCACAACAGTATGCTCAAGAGACGGAGGCACACGTGTGTAGACATCCATTCAATCAGAGGTGACAGGGAGAGTTTATATAGCACCCTTCATGATAGAAAAAGAAGTTGCACACTGCTGTCCTCTGGATTTTTCTGAACAATTTTATGAATCTTTGTTGCAGCGTCCACATGTGCAGGACAAAAATAATCTAAAAAAGTTTAGTACTTGCCTATGCACATTGGGTCTCTGTTCCTTGCCAAAAGGGGAATCAGCTGCTGTTTAAGCAAGCCTAGATTATAATTTGCTATCTAAGGCATGACAACATACACCCCCATAACCTTCCTGCAAACTTTAAGTTTCTATCTCTTTACATAGAGATAGAGGAACCACACAGCGACAGCAGTGCATATTATTCATACTAAACATTTTTAAAAGGAGTAACACTAATGCTATGTCTACTCAAGGGAATTAAGCAAAGATAAAAGGTACAAGGAAGAATCAGAACTCAAAAGTACCCCAGTTCCCCAACCTGAAACCAAACAAGCATTCACTCCACCCCACGACAACATTATTACTCAGGCATACAAGCCAGTCTGGATAAAATAAGACCTCTTCCACCCGCAAAGCTGATGAACAGTCCTTCTTAATACATACTACTAGTTCAGAGGCACTAATACTGACCTTTGTTAACCATCCAAACCAGCACAACCAATCTCCATTTTCTCAACAGTGTGACAAAAGGTGAAAAACCTCAACTGTTTCTGCAGAACACAAATATCAAAGTCCTATTCCCTTTTCATTTGAATAACTGCCTTGGTCATTCTAACACCACGTGGCTCCGCTTCTTTTTTCTTCCTGTTTTGCCTATGCACTGCATGCTGGCAGCAAACTGCCATATTGATGCTTCGATTTTTAGATTTTAAGTAAAAAAGACTGCATACCATTTCCAAATCTTTGGAGTTTTCTTCTGATTTAAAAAAAAAAGTGCCTTTTCGCGGAAGAAGTTAATGATTTTAGCCCAAAAAACAAGTAAGAAGTTCTACAGGCTGCATAACACACACTTATTTCTTTTACCTCTTAAATAATCCATTTGAGTTACAAAAAGTAAAACAACCTTCAGAACAGCAGCAGCAGCTTGCTCTTGGATAACTGGGTACCCCCTCTAAATCTGTAACCCATGTAACTTATTTAATGTAGATTTCATATGACCACCATTGTTTAACTCATCAACAATAGCTTTAAACTACTTAAGTTACTGCATATGCAATCTGTCAAAGAGCTTCAGAGAATAACTGTGCAGAAAGAAAACTTGCAATGCTTGTTTTTAGCTCTCTGAATAGCCCTAGCAGCACAGAAGAACAACAGAACCCCTACATCTGGAAAACTGCCAGCAACCTACTTCCCACACCTGAATATGAAAATGAGAAATACACACAACCGTCCATAATGGATGCAGTCAAACAGCATGTTTAGTCACACTTAAGAAAAACAGCCCACCTCCAAAGTCTCCAATAACACGTGTGTAAACATCAATCTTTCAGAGCTGCATTGCTGCTGAACAAAGCAAAATATTCTATATTTAAGAACAAACAGTTCCAAAACCTAAGAGATGGCTGTTACAGTTTTTTCACACTATTTCTTGCTAATGTAACAGACTAATTATTCCTCCTCTCCCCCTTCCTACATACGATTAGTAACTCTTATGGGTAAGCTGAAACAATGATTGGACTGATTCCTACCGTTAAGAGGTACACTTACTTTTCTAGCTCCTCCTGTGAATGTGCAAAGGTGCAGCTGGCCCCTCGGGGGCATCCTCCTCTCTGCTTCATGTCTCTGCACATGTATGTCTTGTACTTGCTGTGCTGAGGAGGCTGACAAAGTTAAAGAAATCCAGTGAGATACCAGAACATAAGTGCACAAAACCAAAAGCTGTTGATAATTCCTACCACTTAAATCTTCCAGAAGTAACTACTGTGAAGTAAATGACTGGAACAGTATTCTTGTTTGGTTCTTCAACAGAACTAATAGATTCAAGAGTAGATATTTTGACAACTAAGTTGCTATCAGGTTTTTAAAACATTTTTATTCAAATTCCTTGCTGGGGCTTGATTGGAACACAGCTGTATGTTTCAGGAAGCAGTTACATGGACAGACACTGATATAGGCTGAAAAAATGACCACGTTTAATCAGAAATTGCCAAAGATTCATCAAACTTTCTAGTAGATTGAAAATAAATTCAGTTTAGTCAGTTACTTTTCCCTGAGCTTTCTGTTAGCTCAAAATGGCACTTGAATATTCCTTTGATCTCTCATCAAGTTCACTTTTAACCCCACTCTGGACTAAAAATCTCTTAACTACCTATGATAATTATTTCCATCAATAGTTGGGGATGCAATCTTACTCCTACACAGATCAGGTATGGGCTGTCTTCTGTATTTTTCTTAGTTAAATTTCCCAAGAAACAATGACTAACTGCAACCCTGCTGTCTGCATGTATACCCATTTGCCAGTCTCTCCAAGACATTTACAATTACTAGTTTTTATGGCAGAATTAAACCAGAGGCAGAAATACCCTACCAGAGTTCCCACCAAGGGAAAGGTCTGTACAAGTAAACTCTTGCTTTCTGAGAAACTCAGCCAAAAGATGTAAATCTGTAAGAAGCCCTCCGCAAACTGATTCGTTCTCCCCCTCGCCCCACATCTACTGTAGTGAAAAAAGGACTTTAGCAGGGTGTACATAAGCTGCACACCCTCTGCTAGCCACTGCTGCTGGACAACAAAACTCTACCCGATACTCAGCAGAAGTCCCCTTTCCCACTTGGGAGGCTTTGGGTTCCCTTCCAAGCGGCACAGCATGTACCAGGGCTAGGCAAATGATCTTACCAGAGCAGAAAACCCTCACTGGTTTTCCCACTCCGATTTCCACTTGTGTATTCCTACTGCTTTTCCTTTTGCTAGTAACAGTGCTCATTAGGCATCCCAGTGCATGCAAAAAGGTAAACCAGCAAACATAATTCACTCTGATTTTGCCTTCTTTTTTTGGCAGAGAGAATCTTTCTACTCGTTCAGCTCCCTGAACCAGCTCTCCAAGAGGCTGAGTGCCAAAGCAAGGGAGGGAGTAGGGATGCATGACAAGCAACTCTGTCTTTCAGCAGCAGCTATACAACAAAGTGAGATCAAAGAAACATGTGATAAGATAACTATGATATAAGCCAACATATATATTTGGCAACATAATTTCATTTCTGAAACAAAAAAATTGTTTCAGGAACTTGGATGGCACCTTTATATTAAGTTTTATATTAATTATAATTATTATTAATAATAATTTTATATTAACTGAAAGAGGGTAGATTTAGACTAGATAGAAGAAATTTTTTTTTTTTTTTTTTTTTTTTTTGATGGGGGGGGGGAAGCACTGGCCGGGTGGTGGAACAGTGGCCCAGATTGCCCAGAGAGGTGGTAGATGCCTCGTCCCTGGAAACATTCCAGGTCGGGTTGGACGGGGCTCTGAGCAATCTGCTCTAGTCTGAAGATGTCCCTGCTCCTTGCAGGGGAGCTGGACTATATAGCCTTTAAAGGTCCCTTCCAACTCAAACTATTTAATCTTCTAAGTTTTCCCAAAACTTTAGACTTTACAGACCATTAAGCACAGGTATAAGAACAATTTCACTAACACAGAGCCATCTGGCTGAAAGGTCTCATGTTAAAGCAAACTCAAGAAAATCCCCACAAATCACAGTGCTAGGCACTCCAGCTTCTCTCCCCCACCCTCTAGTCAGGAGGGCTTTATATCTTTTTCCTTAAGTTTGCAGCTGGATCAGACTGTTTTCATCCTAGTGCGCTGTGCAAATGTCTTGTTTGATAAATATGATGCAGCAGACTTTTTTATCAGCTCCTCAAACCAAAACTCTCCAGACAACATTAGTAAACCTCTACTGTTGGATACAGCTGATAAAATTTAGGGCTAAGCATTTCCTAAGTGATTTAGCTTTTACCTGTTGTTGATCTGTTCCTTTCTTGCTGTGATTCTGAATATAGTCAACTAAGCCATGAACCACAGTCCTCACAGCAACTAGTCCATTTTCCAGTTGTTCCCATGTCGGAGGTGGAGCATCTGTTGCATTGACAGCAAGCAGAGCATATAAAATAGAAAAGTCAGAGGGATTTTCCAGAACCAGGTGCAAAGAAACCGTAAGTATCACAAACAACTAAAGAGATTTTATCAGAAACATGTGTCATCAGATAAAAAGAGTTCAGCACCTTAATTCAGGGATACATACCACTTGAGGGATAAAGCTAACTATAGACTCAAGATCAAACTACACAAAATATCAAATGAGCCAGCAAGACTATTATTAGCATGTCAAATTATCTCCTTTTACCAGAGCTTTCATATCTCACAAGAACTCCAGAGTAAATGCATTGCACAAACTCTGCACATAATGAAAAAAAAATCAGGCCGAAAAATCCCTCTTCGCACTCAGATTCCTCTAGTTAAAATCTTTCCATACAAACACCATCACCACTGGCCTGGATCACGCAGGCACAGTCACTGAATGCAACAGAAACTGATGCTTCTTGCAGAAAAACGTCCCAAGGCAAATCTATGTATCAGACCACCATTAACACACAGCAGCGTGAATAAATTGTACAGTCTTAATTCTATAGGGGCACGTGGTCTTTCTAGCCAATCTCCTTTTCTAATCATTTAATGTGTTCCAGCAGATGACACTCCTATCGCATGCCTACACACTCTGCTGCAACACACAGGACGTCAAAGGGCTTTACTAAGCACCTTTCAAAATCTTTAGCACAATGACATTCTATTCTGCTCACAAGGCCTAAATTCTTCCAGAGACACTTCAGCTTACCTATAGAACAGCAGGGAAGCAACTCAACAGCACAGAAGAGAAACACCAAGACCAGACTCACCTACTGAAACCGAGTGGGGCTATTAGTGATTCCACTTTCCGCTATCAGTCCTTGGCTAACAAATTTGCAGTACCTGCACAGTTTTGTCCCTGACTTGTTACAGCATGAAAGATTTGGGAAAAAAGCACTACATCTCCTTTAACTGTAAAGTACACCTCATTTGAAAGGTAAGTCTATTTGTGTTTAAACGAAGAGAGCCACAACTTTTCATCTCCTGAAGTCATAGTTTAGGCCTTCAGACTCTTTGATATTAATACCAACTTCACAAATACTAACAGTAAAACTTCAGCCACTGCACTCCCCATTCTGTCCCTTCCCTTCTCCCTCAGGCGACCATCTTCACAGTGCTGCTGACTTGTCCAACAATTTCTGTCTTTCTCTGTCAAGAGCTTAGATTTTATTTCCCAGTTACATTTTTCCAACTAACTTCCCCTTCCCAAACAGTCTTTCATACCTTTGCAGAATTACGTATTAACAATACTAAATTCCCTAGGATAACAAATCTTTCTTGTCTAGACTGATTTTTGCCCAGCTTCTGTCTATTTAATATACCAAAACTCTACTTTGTAATACAACATTGTTTACACAGAAGGCGGCTTATGATTATTAGCTGTGTCTAAGAGTCTTCTGAGTGCAGTATCTGCAGGCTAGAGACCTCAGATCAAAAACTAATACACAGAATTTCTAGAACAAAGAAGAAGTCACACAAATTGTCAATCAGTCAATGGAAATCCTTAATGTGCTAAGTGTTTTCTTGAAGACTTCCCCTAGTTTGTAACAAATTGTTTGCTCTGGTAAATAACTGGAGAGAAAGAGATCTCAGTGACAGCTAAGGCTCTGCATTAAGCACAGTGGTTCTACTGATCTTGTTGCTTTGCAAATCTGGTTTCAAATAGCAGCATGTGTACTAAAGAAGGGAAAAGGAGGAAGCTAAGACTGCTGCCACTCCTCCAGTTACTATTGCCCAGCATTAAGTATACACCATGTAACCTCAAAGGTTTGAATGTATCCAACATCCTCATCCATGCTCACCCGGTGCTGTCAAACAAGGATGATCTCCTCGGAGTAGCGGTGAAATTATTCCTGCCATGCTTTTAAATCTATTTTAGCTTCAGAATAGTTCAGTTCCTCACACAGATTATGGCTGTTCCCAGGCTAATTATGAAAACCACTCAAGAATCTTGAGTTTATTATTAATCTTAAGAATTAGAGGATGTTTCTTTCCACTTGATTAACAGCTTTGAATCCTTCAAGCTGTTCTTGCTAAACTCTAGGTTAAAGGTTTTTATAAAACATCTAGACTTACCTGGACTAGGATCAATATTTGCCAGGAGCTCTAGGTGAGGTCGAAGACGATTCAGGTTAGCTGGATCTCCAGTCCTCTGAAGGGCAATAGTTAATTCTTGAACACTCTGTGCAAACGAGGCTGGGGTCTGCAACTTAAAAAAATTGTAATAATTAACTTTCTACAGGCAAAGCAATCCCCACGGTTTCTAAAGGTTACTCCACAAGCTCACAAGAGCTGAATTCCACAACTGGAAGAAATCATTTCAGCACCTTCTATGAAATTCTTCTCCGGCATTAAGAATGCACTTCCACATTCCATGTTAAAATACAGCTCTAAATGGTCAAAACAAAGGCTGGTATTATTTCTAGCAATGTAGCCTATTTCTTTTCTGTGTTGTGCTGGCACCCAGAAAAAAAATACAGACCATTAGAAACAATTTAACTTAGATTTCTGAAGAGTCTAATGTCTCTAACACCTGAACCAACAGGTTTGCACTCTGCTTTAAACTGGGTACAGCAGACAAAGAGCAAGATGGTTGAAGGACAAAGACAGCTTGCAACGTTGTATTTACTAACATCACACAATTTCAGCAAAATCTTTTAATTCTACATAGACCCTTCGGGAGATACCTGGCAGGACACCTGAAAAGGTGAGCAAATGTATAAATACACAGCAGAGCTATCTTGAAGCTAATCCTCCCACAGGGCAGCCACAGCAATGGTTTCACAGGTTTTGTAACCATTCAACAAGGTTTAGTTCTTCCCACCTAATTTAGGCACTTAGATGCAAGTCCTCTAATTTAAAAGCCCTTTTATCCTATGCTCCCTCTAAACAAAAAGCAATCTGGGCATTTTTAGAAGTCACATTACTTAAGAAATGTGCTTCCACCTCTCCCTCTTACTTCAGGTATAGCCTAGGAGACTGATTTTCTTCCAGTGTCCTGCCTGGAAACACAAACCATTAACCTCTGTTACTACACTGGCAGTTATCAGCTGTTTAGAAAGGACACATCCCGTCTGTGCAGCTAACCTTTGTGGCTTCCCTTCTACAGGAAGGGCTAAAGTAGAAAGACATGGCAGGACGGCAAAGGAAGCAAGATCCATTAGGTTACAAATATATATTCTAATTATTCAGACCATAACGGGTTTTGAAATAACAGGGTAAATGATTAACGGGTGAATACACGTGGGCACAATTTCTAAATTCATGTTACAAGCATTTAAATCTACCACACTTGCAAACAAGATAGACTGGGCTGATTTTAGGTGGCTTTACCTTGTCAATGATAGACTGCATGTGGGATTTGTGAGACTGGTCTCCGTATAACAGTGAGGACCACTGGTCTGGTGCAATGCGTAAACCTGCTTCCATAGCAATTTGAACTATCTGAGAATCATGTTCCCTTCTTAGAGCTTCGTAAGTCCGAAATTCCTCCTTCAGTTGCATCAGGGAGGAATCTTCATCTCGTTTTGTCACCTAGTGGGGAGAAATGAGCCAAATACAATTAAGCAGGATCAACCAGAGACTATGTAAAGTCCAAGGCAAATTATATCTTCAGTCAGCAACTAAGTTCTTCCTCCCAAACTAAACCAAACTATGATACTATGCAGTGAACACTAGTTCCTAGTAAAGTAATACACTCTTCATAAACTGGAACCATTATGAAATGGATACCAAATGTAATTTACTCAGATTGACCCAGATGTTGGTGGACATGTCACACTTCCTAAACGACATTACAGCAGCCACACCTTACCTCTCCAGCCAAGGTATTTTATTTGTGTTGGGGAATTTTGTTTGAGGGTACAAGTAGCAGCAACAAAGCATTTTTCTTCTCATTTAGCAACAGTGAATGATATTTAAGTTGAGCACCCCGGAATGGACCATTAAATACTGTCAAGTACAATAAGCAGGCTAAGTTCTCTTTATACAACTCTGATATCCAAGAACCTCATAGTTCTTGGTTTCTAATCACACCACCATTCAATTACCAGAACTGGGGATTTTCCAGCTTTCAGCCTCTTCTAAGGAGGTAAGTTATGCCAATTTACATACAGGTTTTATTACTGTGCATCTATTAAACCCGGAGAGAATCAAAACTTAGCATTACAGCTTAAAGTTGCAATTTCAGCCTACATTGCCATCGTACCAGTACAACAGAAGAACTCCCAAACGCATGTGGGGCTTAATGAGTAATACTTTCTATAACTGCACACATTTTTAGGAACATTTAACATTACAGGACACTGAAAATTGAAAATACAATAGTTTTCATAGCATTATGAAACCTCCAAGCAGAATTTTCTTCATACCTTGAAGCACGAGGCTCTGTAAAGAAGCTGGACAACATGTCCAATGCTAGTTTTGGAAGCCTGAGGAAACCGCGGCTCCAGTCTCTGAACCACAAAGAGAACCAAGACCTTTCGTGACAAAGCAGATCCATCTTCCAGAGCCAGTAACACCAGCTTTAAAGCCTCCTCTTGCATTGCTGGGGGGGGTGAAGGTGGGAGGAAATGTGAAAAGGGACAAAAGATAAGAAAAGACCAAGAAAGACTTCTGCACAGTTTCTTGTTTTCGTACAAGTAGGGGACCAGCTACAGACACCCCCAGCCCCTCAACGCACACAAACCTACAGACAGGAAAGGGAACAGAGCAAGAAGGGAGAGAAAAGAGAACACTTCCAGATTCCCAGACTGTGGCTGGGGCAATAGGACTTTTAAATATTTTTATTATTATTTGTTCTCTTTGGGTATCAGATGATAGGAAAATGACTTTGTTCCTGTCTAAAAACTTTTCTATGAATAACTGAGAGACGTATAAAGTGCATTAGCTACATCCCACACATACCTCAGCAGAAAAAGCTGACAGGCTGAGGAAGGGCAAGGTTGATTCCCATGCAGGTAAACCAGCAATTAGTGCCCACACAGATACATTAGGTGCTGTAGCACCGCATATTTTGCTAGATAACAAGCCTCTCTGTTCCCTGCAGTAGTGCAAAAGTTAGCACCCCAAAGCTAGTCTTCCTCCGTTTCAGTGGTGAAAAGCTTCTCTATTTTTAGAAATTGGCTTCATATTTCAAGGCATTATTTTTGTTGGTCCTCAACAAGTGAAGTCTACGTTTTCAGTAATGAGACTTTGTGGTTTTTTTAAAAGCAAATTGATTGGTTTTGTATTCTATGAAAAGGAATTTAATTTCCAAGTACGTATCTTTTCAAAAATGCATAGAAACACACCCCAAATGTAACAAATCTCTCCCCACAACTGTTTTGTACATTTATTACCCTAGAGAAGGAAAAGAAGCCCTATCCAGTCACTTCTATTAACCTTATTTTTTTCTAGAAGGGTCTTACTTCTTCAAAGAATAGCAAGTGAGAAACTACTTCCCATTTTAATCTTATCACAAGAACAAAAGGACACGCATTATTCTGAATTTTATAGAAGACTTGCAAAAGCACTAAAAATGCTGGAAAGTCTATGATAGCAGCCCAACAGATGTATCATTATTTCTGAAGACCTACTGCTCAGAAATTAAGCCACTGCCTAATAAAATCGCTCAGGCAGTTTGACACCCATTTACCAATCCTCATCAATTATGAATTGCTTCTAGTATAGAAGTAGTACTGTGGTTTACCTACCCGGTCCAAGGAACTGGCAGCCTCTGGCTCTCACCGCAGCCCAGAGGTTGGAAGAGAGCTGTTGAGGATTTTGATGCTGAAGAATGAGCTCTGTGACTGTTCTTTCACCAAGTGACCGTGCGGCACGCATGGCTCTGATCCGCCCTTCTTCCTCCACTAGCTGGCAGTGAACTAATGTCACAAGTTTCCTTTGCATGGGACGACTTAGCACGCTCTGCGTAGTACTGTTAAGACCCACACCTTCAAAACAAAATTAAACAGGAAAAAAAACCCCCAAACTACCTCATATCTCCTCCACTTGTGCGAGCCTTCAACCACTGTACTGCAGAAGTGCAAACTTAGTTCTCTTGACATCCACTTTGTTCAACAGAACACTAGAGTAGGCATATCAGAAGTTCATTTTTGTCAGTTTGCTTTTCATGATGAGTAAACCAAACAGCTCCTGGCAGTCAGCTTTCCCACAGGTTTAAGCCTTGTGACTGACTGATTTGGGTCTCTAAGGTGGGACCTCTAATGAACTCTCTCCCCATGTTGGAAGGCCATCTTGCACCTTCCCATACAGATTCTCAGGTGTCTCCTCAAGGGTAGGATCATAATGCGGTCTTTCCCTTATGCATGGGCTTCAGGGATCACTGCTGCCTTTGACCATTCCTCTGTTTGCACAAGACATTTAGTTTTTTATCTGTATCTGATCTCTCCACTTCTTTGGCCTAGCCAAACTGAACATACACAAGCTCAAAGCTGTTTGGGTGATGCTTAATTACGTGCAAAAACTGTGTTTCACAAATGTCCTGGGAGCCACTTACAGCAGGTTAAAGGAACAAGTGACTTACCAGATATACGGCTGCCATACCAAGTTTGTTCTACAGCACAAAGCTTGTTCACTGGGCCACTACTACTCAGAGTGATACCACTATCACACTGTACTAGTTGGAAAAGCTTGAGGCAGATTTTTGTAAATATTCATTTTTGAAAACCTGATGCCCATGATGCTCACCTCTATTATTTGGGACAGATTTTCAAGTCCACCATATGTAATATAGATAAAATCCATACTCTTGAACCTAGTGCAATTTTGCTAAATTCCAATTACTCAGATCAATCCAGCTCTTGCATAAGATCTTTTACAAACAGAATATTATTTTTTCTCTTCTATATCCTATGTGCAGTTCTCATTTAATTTTATTTATTATGTATAATATATAATATTCATTTTTATTTATTTCATTCTCATTTCAGTTTATTCCTTCTCACAAGCAAGCTGCATTACTACAGTTATCTCAAACCAAAGCAGAACTCAAAAACAACAAAAACCCCTACCCAAAAAACAACAACAAAACCCCCCCATAAACCAGAATTACCTATTTTTACTTAGTCACCAGAGGTCAACTCAACCTAAAGTTTGTCGCAATTTACTACTATACCACGGTCAAATATCTCAGCCTTTTCTCAGTATTATTTTTATTCTCAGTATTATTATAGTGCCTTTAAATTCCACACCCACCCCGCCCGTTAAGACATAACCTTAATGCTTAGGAAATTTGTTACGATTTGTTTCCAAACTAGGTTTACATTAATTTTTCACTCAAACTAATCATTTGGATAGTTTGTTTTGCATCTTATTTGTTTCCAGCTTTCATTTTCAAAGAACACAACGCAGGAACTACCTCTCGCGCTGCTAAGTGGTTTGAGGTACAACGCTAATTCTTCCACACATTTCTTGCCTTCTTCATAATGCTTGGTATCTTCAGCTCCACTACATAAAGTAATTGGCTGCTGCTCAGGAACCTGAAAAGAGATGACAGGTACATCTATGATGAGTATGCATAAATAGGTGGCAGTCATGCTTACAAACACCACATCAAGCTTATTAATATCAAGCATTTCCTGTTTTGTTCCCCTTCTGTATTACTAAGCACTTTTTCAGCTTGTATAATGAATAAATAGCATTTAAAAATTCATCAAAAATGAAGACCAAAAAATGTAAAGAATTTACAGTTAGCAGGTTTCTCTATTGAGTGGCTGACAGGAACTAGATGAAGGCTTCTTCCATGACAAAAAAATATAACATGAGAAACATGACTGTTCTTATAATTATAAAATTTTGGCTGAAACAACACACATATTGAGACATCCCCAAAGCTGGCTGGCAAAAAAACCCCAGAACAAATCAGACTAACCTTCGTTTGCAGGTAAGTACAGATTCACATCTAGGGCCTCACAGCTCTAAAACCATCCAGGGATAAGTGATCGGAGCTACTTGGATTAGTGGCAGAAAGACTTAGCAGCAAATATATTAGGACACCCTTGGAACATATTCAGGCTAGTCCCAATTACCAAGCAGCAAGATCAAGTTATCCTACACAATGCATATGAACACAACCTGCAAGTATTAGTCTGACAACATGGGCCAGTTACACTCTTGGGTGTGTTCTTTTGTTTTGGTGGTGATTTTTTGTTGTTGTTGTTGCCTTTATTTCTTTATCCAGGCATTCACCAGAACTCAGGATTTTTCAAAGGAATGTTGGATCATCAACCCCTCTCCAAGTTATAATTTCGTTTTTATTTTCCTCCAGTTAAATTCTTAAAGCTTTAAACAAATTTGGGGGTGCTGTATAGCACTGCATTAATTGTTTCTCAACATCACTATTCAGCAACCAACTCAATATACGGTAGTATAGACAACTGGAATATCTCAGGAGACTAAACACAAGCACTTTTTGCATATGCTGTTGAAGTGCAAACAGATCTCAGACTTCAACTTCTATTTCCAAGTCAATCACTATCCCACTGGCAATAACAGCACTGCTAATCCCACATAGCTGCTTACAGGGACCAACCCACGCCCTCAGTCTAAAAAGCCTTTAATGCTCGAGTTAAAAGACAGCTACAAACCCACTAACCTTCACATGCAACCCAGCCATGTAAAGAGTAGCGTTGTGACGGCGGCAGCAAATAAAAGTAGTGAATATATGTAACATACATGTACACACGCACACACACGGTTGCCGTCAATGTGGACAGGAGATTTCCTATGAATTCTAATACAAAGTACTCTGTTTCCATCATACGATCACACTTCTACAGGCTTAGACAACTGTGCGGGCCGAGTTGCTCATTTGACACGCACTGCAAAATAAAAAGTTACTAGCTGCATGACTCTTGTTTTTACAGTAGGTGACAAAAAAGTCTGAGCGTAAGATATAAACTGCAATTGAGAGAGTTGATAACAGCCCAAAACTAACATAACCAAGATAGCCTGGACCAGACACCTCCCCTTTTACTCCTATTAAAGGGAAAACCAAAACCAAGTTTAATCACACCAAGACAGCAAGGTTGGCCTGGATGCTTTTCAGTGAAGTCTTGGGGATTTATTTTTCAGGGATGAGGTGGTGTTTTTTGGGGGTGTTTTGGTTTTTGGTTTTTTTTTTTCATGTCTGTAAGCAAGAAAGTTTTCAGCAAAAGGAGATTTTTGCAACTGTCAGCCGTAACTATTGCAACAGCCTCAGCTAGACTGGTTTCTTGGGATTTGGGAAACAAATATTAACACCTTCGATATTTGCTTTCATGTTAACAGAATATTCCACCTCCTTTTCAAAGTCACTGCCGTTTTAGCAATCTCCTTCTGTCTGGGAAGTTATACAAGCAGAACTGGCTTATCGATCAAACAGCACTCACCTCATGCTGAGACAGAGGCTACACAGTCTCTGCCCTATTTACTACTGTAATATATTTTGTGCAAATTCCTATTTACTCCTGCAAGTATTCAATCTGGCACCGATGACAACCTGAAATACAACCACCACGTCGCGACACCCAGAAAACAAAGAGGGCTTGGAACAGACACAGGACAGGAAACAGTGTTCAGCCCTGGATTTTGATCTTCAATTAAGGTAGGTTTAGCACACATTCACAGCAGCAGTTTGGAATGCCACACACAGCACAACTCCACCAGCGAGACACAAGGACTGTCTAGGCAACGAACAGAAAGCTTCCACTTCCCCCAGGAAAAAGCCGGCATTGAAAAACTTCCAAGAGTCACTCAAGCTATTCAACACTCTGTATCTGCATATCCTTCCCATTTCTTCTCTTTGCAAGGGAAGCTTCAGTGTAAATATCTAAAAGCTTCGCAATACTGTACTGTTTGCAAAATGAGCCCAAAAGAGATTAGAGTTTAACTTCCATCTTAAGCTGGAGCAAGTGTACTATTGAACAATAAATCAAGATGCTTATTTTGTGGTTTCAGGAGCAGAGAATGCATTTCTCCGCACACACGCTTCATTCTTCACCCATGCGATGCAGCATCTCACAGTAAAACTCACAAATTATTTGCCCTTTTGCTGGTTCTATTATATGCACTTCTGAGACTTTTAAAATATTTTAGGGTTAGAATGATTCTAAGAACAGCATCTACCAAGAGAAAAATGGTAAAGACATGCTTCACAAGAGTCACAGGAGATCTGAATTTAATTTTGGCTCTGTCATGGACTTGCTGAGGGACAACCAAGAAATAATTCAACTCCAAAGCATTTTCTCTTCCCCTTTGCAAAATATCCTTTCAATAGCATGCAGGGCCCTATGGTCACTTCTGTTTATGACGCCTCTTGAGAGGCTCAAAATAGATGCCCTGCAGAGCAAGTTCATTATTTTCATTCTCATTCAATATTCCATTCTCTCAGACACCACACCCTTATCACAGCTTTCACTGCAAATATATTTACATAATATAATAAACACCTCCCAAGGGGGACTACAGGAAGACAAGAAAAAAACCTCAGATTTAATTAGTTTAAATTTGTGATCGTTTTGTGCACATCTGCCTTGGCAGTGACTGTGAGTATCCCAGCAGTGGAATGCCACCCATCAGCATGACTACTTGTGGCTGTGGGAAGAAGCACGTTATGATGGCACAAGGAAAGGGACCGGAAAAAAAATGCTAAAGCATCATCTCATACCAGGCAGTCATTCTGAATTAGTGATTTAAGTGTAATTTGATGAAGGATGTCAGCTTGAGTTGTCACTAATTACCATTAGACATCTAATTGCACAGAATGAAAACATGCTAAACAGACCAAAACCCTTTTTGCCTGGTTTGAAAGCTGTCCCTCTGTCCATCCCCCCTCAACCAGGTAATTTGCTTCCTGGCCAAAAAACCCCAACCAAACTACACCCAAAGCCTATTGTCTTCAGTTCCTCAAGAGTTTACACTAAGGACAACTTCTTTGCAGATAATTCCTCTTTTGCGGCACCTCATTTCACCAAAACTTACAATACAAGATTATCAAACGTGCCGCTAGTGCCTCTGCAATTATCATGTTCCCCTTTTGAAAGGGCCATGAGCTAAAATTGATCCACCCATTCTCTCATCATATACACGTTTCCATTCCCTAATGCCTGCAATTGCATTTATCATGTCCAGCAGAAGACTATGAAAGAAATTAAAGCACCACAGGAATTTTTGCCACTTAATGTCACCTGTTTGGAACGTGAACACAGCTGCTTCATGCGTTAAAAAAACAGGAGGGAAGAGATTAGATGACAGATCCGTGATTATGTACCTTCAAAACTCTGGCCTGGCAAATGTTTAAAATAGTCACATACAGTGAGTAATATGTGGATGCTTGAATAGTTGAAACTCAAAACCTCACTCCCATAGAAACTAGCTTCAGGGATTTCTTTACCCAAGAAGTTTACAAAGCAAGTAAATTATGCCTTTTTGATTTGTGCTCAAGGCCACTGTGCCTCCCTTCCCTCACAACACGCTTAGCTCCTGCTTAGGCGCTCAGCTATTTCCAGCTCTCCCAGGAACAGTAATTCTCACCTTCCCTTTACAACCCCTTCTGACTGCCACCATCTCATGCAGCTGAACTTATCTATACATGGGCTGAATTGCCCAACCACTGCCTCCCAGAATAGGCCCCATGACCACTGTCAACGTGTACCGTGCTACAGCGGGGGAGCAGAAATTGGAGTCTCTGCAACAGTTAATTTTCATATCAAGGGTGGCTATAACCTGGGCAACAGGTTCCATTTTTGGAAAGGGGTGGGAGAAGGAAAACTGAGAAACAGGCTGTAATTCAAGTAAGAAACCAACTGTTTTCACCATTGAAGTGACAAAACCTCCACAGAGCAATAATGCTATTGTCAGAGAAATAGGTTACTGCTTCCCTGGGTGCCTGCGTGACAAATTTAGTTACACTTCCCCCAGAAGGACAGTCCTGCTTATTTCAGCCATTGTGCCTGTGCTAAAGCCAACCAACATGACTTGCCCTGGAATCCTATCATTGTGGCCAGTCACCGCAGAACAGATTTCTTTCTTCAAACTGCCTGGTCTCCTCCCCTGCCTCCAGCAAAAAAAAAAAAAGTGTTTAACACTTATAAATGTGTGAACTTCTCAGAAGCCTCCCCGAAGGGAAAAGAACAAACTGTTCTTTTCCCCCCTCAGATAAAAGCTTTAATTGTGTTGTACTGTATTTACTTCTAAAATGAAACCTGTTTTTTTGGAAGTTATGATTTAAAAAATAAAGCATTACACATCTCCATGGGCTGGGGTTAAGGTGTGCAGCTGTTTGTTGGAGATTAGGGGACATTAATGACACATACACCCTCCTGAAACTAAACCAAGAAGTGGAACAAGAAAAGGGGCTTTGTTTTACTAAACTTGATGATACTACTTGTGCTTTGTAAGCTGACTTGCTGCTCACAAAGCATTTTTGTTGAGATGTACCAAAGACAGCCCACCTTCTTAACAGGACAGAGTTCAAAATTACTGTAGTTTCTCTAAAGTACTTTTTTTGGTGTTCTTAATCAAGCTTTTTCCTGTAAAAAAATTTTTTACATGGTCTTAGAAAGACTAATGGAAAATAGCAACTGTTCTACTGTCCTTCACAGCAAAGTAGTATTTATTTTCTAGTACTCCATAGTCTGGTAAACACTACAATAGGTGCCAGGAAGGCAGAGGTAAAGGGAGAAAGGAAGGTGAGCTATACTGAATACTGATTTCGTTCACATGCTCAGTGAAATTAGGAGCTGAGGCAGGGAGGTAGTGCATATATCTTTCAAAGGGAAAGTTTGTCAGTAATAAAAACCCAACTAAAATCAACGATTATTGTTTAGGTATCAGAATGCAGCGAGCAGTATACATGCTGGAATGAGCGACAAGTGAGGGGGAAGGGAGTACCATCTCTTTTGGTAGCATTTGCTCTAAGGTCACCACGAAACAAGGTCCTATAAGTCTTGATCACATAAATTAAACTATAAAAAGGAGACAAAAATTATGTCATTTTAGGATTTAATTCCATATGAATTATGAACATAGAGTTCAGTGCGCACTCAAGATGCTCTTCCTTCTTCATACCTCACGCATATGGATGAGGAAACTCTGGCTGGCTAACTAGCAAAACCAGAATAGAATTCTCAATTACCTGTAACAGACGCAGGGTGATTTTCCATCTCGTTCCAGAGGATCTTGTTTTTATGGAAATTTTAACTCAAGCAACGATCAAGTTAAAAGCTATCACATAGCTTCTCACAAGGCTCAACAAATGCACACAAAGCAACCCCAAAAACGCAGGAGGAAGACAACACTTTATCATAAATGTGGACATTTGGATACAGCTATATTATATTCCAGAAACTCCAGAGAGAAAAGAAGATACAAGGGAGAAAGAATTACAATATTTATTTACAGCATCACCCACAGATTTCACACTCCTTGGAAGCTCTTCAAAGATGGCGGCATACACACATCACAGAAATGTAAGCACGCTGTCTCATTGTCCTCTCCTGCAGAGCAGGATGAGTCACTTAGCACAGCCAGAAAGACAACTCAATTTTTAAACTTCTGAAATAACTTCTATGCCATACACCACAAAAGAACAACAAGGTAGCCATATTACGTGATAAACCAAACAACAAAAGAAGTAGCAAAACCACGTCTGGATCTCTAGGTCACAGTTCCTAACGAAAATAAGAACATCTTTCTTTCCTCCACACCATAGCTCTTCTCTTTTTCCTAGGCTATGGGTATCGCTGAATTTTCTGCTGTCTCCAACTCAGCTGAGCCCAGACACAGAAGCAGAACAGAACAAAACAACAAGCCTGCTATGGTAACTGCATCCTGTCCACATTTTTTGTTCCTCATCCATAAGTTAGACACGATTGTCCCTCCTCTGCCCAAGTCCACAATCCTGTCCAGCCTTGCGAGGTATGGGTCACAGGAAACTACCAGTGATCTAACCACAATAAGCTTGTGCCCCAACTGAACAGGGCAATCCTGCTTTCCACACATCCCTGCCCCTTTCCTTGTCTGCCATCAGGACCAGCGCGACTGCAGTACTCCTCTCCATCAGATCACCAGTTCAGCTGACCTCATGAGTACCCATTCCAGCGAAAGGGAATCTGAGGCAGGCCCCCCCATTCACCTACATGGATTCAGGTTAACATGTCAGCTCAGGAAATTACATTTCCAGAGCATAGTTTCAAATTAAACATAGGGCAGTATAAAGGCTGCTACAAGAGGGGTCTGTCTCATTTCCCCTAGTCTCCCCTCCTGCTTTCAAGACAACCGATCACAAGTCCATAGGGTGACTCGGGTAAAGCAAATAACCTATCACAGAAGTATGGCTTCCCATCCGATAGCTCACTGATCCAGTTCATCCTTTTGGCAGAGCATGGCTAGATAGGAGTTAGGGAAGAAGGAAGGGAACAGAACCCCCCATTCTGATGACAGCCCATGGTTACACTAAATCAAATGTAACACAAAAATCACAGTCAGTGACTGGTATAATGAAGATTTGAACTGTTTCTTGTTCCAGGCACCTCTACTACAGCATACCAAAGGTCTAAAACCTGTACTCATTCAAGTCAGTCTACAAAAAGGTACTTGTCTACTCTACACACCATTACAGAGTCATATTCTTTATTCATGACTTGCCCTCCTAAAAGAAAGAAGGAAAACAACATAGAAACTGATTAAAAAAAAAAAAGCACTGATACCTGAGCACCCACTAGTTGCAGCAACGCTGAGTTCACAGGTAGGAGCTCTATGTCTGTATTGATAGTGGTCTGGTCAAAAGGGCATGCCTTACGGTGGAGCTTGTTGAGGCACATCTTGCAGACAGTGTGGCCACAACCCAAGCTGATGGGCTTCCGGATTGTTTCGTCGAAAGTCTGTGTGCAAATCGGGCAGGAGAGAAAATCCGTCCATTGTGGAGCTTGTACAGGCATTGCTTCAGGAGTTAATTGACAAGACAAAAATCTAAAGCACAGATTCCACTGGAATCAAAATCTTCAAAAAAAAGTCTGTTTGTTTTTAAATATCTTCTGTAAGTACAGACAGTCAGCACATAGTGTGAAACATAACCTAAAAGAAAACAGAAACAGAAAGTTAGCATTCTCTACTGGAATGGGCATGTGAAATCCTTTATGCTAGGTAAATACTACTTGTAGAGGTATAGCTGAACTAGGAGTGCAGCTCTGACATTAAATAGAGGACTGAGTCATGACTTACTTTAATTCCAGCTAGGTTCTGGCACTGAAAAAGACACTTAAAACTGTTTCTGCTGTTATGCAGCTTAAAAAAAAAAAAAAATCAAGATAGTTATCTATCTCATTGAAGTTATAAGACTAATTAGGTTTCAGTTTTTATGTTCTCTTTTTTCTTTACAAATGAGCCAATTAACAACAACCAGATTTGATTTTAAAAAGTCAATTTTTGAAGGGCTGTTGTGCTTATTCCACTAGAACAGGGTTTTTTTTATGTAATTCATCATGAACTCTAAATAATTTTGCTTAGACAAGGCTTCAGCCAAAACCTCTATCACAAGCAAGCTTTCTTCCCAGTTCAGTGGGCTCTAGACTGGCACACAATGACGCTGCGGAAACATCTGAGCTGCCATAGCCTTCAAGAAATGGATGAATGGCTCAGGGTACAGTCAGACGCCTGTCTGTATCGCATGCAATACAGCTCATGCACATCGCTAGGTAATACTGCATACTGCTACTACAGCACCTTCACACAAGCTGATCTGTACAGAGCTGCACAGTGCCACATGGACTGATCCGGTCACGTTTCAGTTATCCTGGGAGTTTCCATGCATTACTGGGTATAATTCCGCATTGATTGCTTGCCCTCAGTCTGCCCACCAAGCAGCTCCATCCTTCAAACGCAGGAAGAAAATTTCTAGGAGTCTTTTTGGACCAGAACACTGACAACTGTTTTCCAAGAACCCTCTTCTAATCCCGAATTACATAATTCATTGCCTACCTAGAGATTATATTGACAGAGAAAGTAACATCTTCAATGCATTGAGAAATTACACTGAAACACTACAGGAAGAGAACCTGGGAGGTCTCTATTATTTGGCACTTCTGAATCAAAATGCTAAGAGGATCAAGCATTACTAATTGTAAGGGAATGGAAGATCAGAGATCCCTTTGGGACAAACAGAACTCTGCATGTGAGGAGAAATGCAAAAGAGTAGACAGATGAAGTGATATGAAAAGAATCATTATCAAAAGGAAAACTGGTAATAAAAAAAAATTTCTGATGTCTGGCTTACTTTTCATCAGTTAAGTTAGCAAAAAAACCAACAGTTCAGGTCACACGCTTTTACTACAAAACAGATTTTTCTAAATCAAGCAGCAAAACAAAAAAACCACCCCAACCACCCAGATGTGTTAGTTTCTCTTTCCCACACACCACTGGCTTACATTTCACACCAAGGAGTGTGCACTTGCTTGCTATATCTGTTCGGATAGAAAGTTCTCATATAAGCAAAACAGCAACCTTTTATCAAATCTTAGCTTAAAAAACAAACTCAAAATTAAAATTAAAATCTCAATTCTAAGTAAAGGCAGAGAGAGAAACTTCAAGTTAGGACTTGTGCAATTCAGAATCAAAGCATTTTAAAACAGCAACAAAAATCCAATGCTAAAACAGAGACTCTGAAAAGCCTCAGGGTTTTGTTCCAGAATTTAAGGCAATGTTCTTCACAGTTAACATCGTTTTGCCAAGGCAAACAATGAAGAGTTACTAGTTAAGCTTTTAGCCACATTTCGTCAACAAAACATTAAAGCTTAGTTTTAAAGCTAATGAAAAAAATTACTCCTATCTTTAAAAAAACAACCTACCATGCCACAGAGCCACTGTTTACCAGCCAACAAGGAATCAATAAGAAATCAATACTACCCAGGCAGGGTGGTACTGAGGAAGAGGCAGTGCATGTGGTTAACCCTAACACCACCATTGCACAACTGGATCTGCCAACATTGTTCAGGGTTCCCCTTTCCAAATTACCTCTTTAATAGCAAATCAGTAATTTTTTTTTTAATGTTGTCAGCAGACAGCCAAATCATTCCCATTACTACTGTATCATCATAACCCAAATGAAAACATGTATTCTTATAAGTTACTCGACTGAGCTAACTACCCAAAACATCCAGCAAATTTATTTCCAAGCCTTCACCCCCTCCCTGCCCCCTTTACATATTTTTACTTAATCCTTGATATCAAATATTCCTACTAGAATAATTCTTTGTAAACCAAATCTGTAATAAAAATTACCTTGAAACTCTACAAAAATCCTTCTGCAAAGAGCAGTACACAGCTTGATAAGTCTAGTGTATGTATTGCTGTGCTATGAAATACTACTTGAAGTTCAAAATTTAAAAGCTGAATCATATTGCTTCCTTTCTACCACACTGGTATTAAAATATTTACCAACAATTTCCCACACTCATCTACAATTCAGAAACCATTTGAACAGTCCATTTGAAACATCGAGTTTTAACCAAGAGTTAAGGAAAAGAGCAATTTTTTTTAGTAACTGAGGAAACCAAAAACCAGAACCTAACATGAAGCTGTACCATCAACACTAGAAAGTAGATGTGGACATGGAGACCCCACCATCTCTGGCTCTGAACTGGAAAAAAGGAGTTGAACACAACTTCAATATGAGTTAACTAATTAAAAATAAAAAACAAACAGAGACATGTTGTTCCTACCTGTACCTCTGCCCACTCCAGACAACTGGCATAATGAAATAGGTCATGTTTATTTACAGTCTCAACAGTTGAAAGAAGTTTGGGGAGTCTGGGGAGGGAGTAATTAGTGGCATCCCTGATCCCTTATCAAGGCAGGTCTCAAAAGGCTGGAAAACAACGTAAGCAAAGCTTACATACAAGCACAACTCTCAGAGGGTCCTAATGAGCCCAAGCCTGGCACCGAACTACCAGAATAGAAGGGCACATCACAGGTGAATGGAAAACTCACAGCCCTGACAGTGGGTATGCAGAGAGCACCCCTTACCCATGATAGAATTCTCTCCTACCTCTCATTTCACCAAACTCTGAAGTGTCTGTGGACGCATACTGGTGCCTAAATGACAGAGGAAGGCCACAGACAGCACTGACAATATAAAATATGGCTAGGAGAAACCTCAGGAAATCATCTATTTCAGCACAGTCTATCTAACTGCTAGAACAGATGGCTAACTGGCTTGATCCAGCCAACCTTTTCCCTACAGGAGAAAAGAATAACCGTTTGAGCAACAAACCCTGCTCTGCAATAAATCTCCCAAGTAGATCAGCACAGAACTGTCAAATTCCTCCAGTCCCACGTAAGATGGGAATGGCATCACAGAGACCGATGGTTCACAAGCTGCATGCACGCAGGCTGGCACTAAACCAAATACCGCTGCTGCTGCCAAAGCTTTCCGTGTACATGGTCCAGTTTTCCGGCTGGATCTTCCATCTTCAGACAAAGCAGCAGAGTCAAGGGCAGAGATACAACAGAAATCTCTTCCAGGCACAAAGCATACACATGGGGTATACTCATAAGAAGTGAAGCCGGGAAAGATGGGCTAAGACCTTGACCGTAATCAGAAACAAAGTATTCTCTAACTGCAAAGAGCTACTTTAAACAAGAGAGATTACAAACAGCAATAAAACAATGGAAACAAGAGAGCTTCATTAACACAGACAGTTATTGGAACCATTACCACTAAAGAAAGGGAATACTTCCTTGTACAGATAAGGTAGAAAAAGCATATTCACACTGTCATAGTACAACACTTTTTTTTTAAAAAATGTTTCTATCCAGCATTATGCCAGAGGTGAGGCAAATGCAAAGAACACAAACATTTACAACAGACATAACTATTTAAATAAAATCTCCCTTCCTGTTACAGATGACATTTTTAGCCCACCCTCTCAATTTGCTAAGTATTTCACAGCTGTTAGCTTCCAACACTTCAAATATACATACACGCACTTCTGTGCATGATAAGAGGAAAATAAAAGATATGCTAAAACCCAAGAAAACAAAAAACTAAGAAGACACATCCACAGTACATAAATTGGAGGACAAGCAGCTATAATTAAGATGCCCCAAGACATAGATCACAGACAGATTTATTTCATTATTTCTGAGTTCAAAGATATGAAATACATGCATGCAAGTCCCCTCCTCTGATTAGTCCTGCATAAGCTGTTTTTATCCACAGCTAGAGGAACCTGGAAAAATTTCTTCTCTCTTCTGGGCCCTACCTACCCCCAAAAAATCCTTGAAATTCCATCCTTCAACCCAGACTGGAAATGTCATGTTGTAATCAGATCAGTGACCTGTCTCCTCTGGGACCCTGCCAGTGCTTCAGAGAAAGACAGGATCATTCTATAAACCACCAGGAGAATCGCTCAATGTTTCGCTGCATTCTTTACTCTGCCATACTACAACGCAGAGGGGCAACGCAATCTTGTGTCCAAGCTGTGTTATATCTGCAATGACCAGAGCCTTCCACACGTAGCTAGAATGCTTTGCAGATTCAACCCTCAGGAATAAGATGTTTTTAAAATGTAGAACACTTTGTCCCAATATCCACTGGCATCAAGTTTCTTACATGATGACATACAGGAAAATCTTCTGTTTTCAGTTAAAATTCCACTCCCTTAAATTAAGCACACTCTCCAAGTCCTTCAGTACAGGTACCAAGTATGTATCGACTTCTCTCACAAACATGTTATTTGGACCCAACGTGTACTAGCACAGACGTATCATGTGCCACTTCGTCATGCACAAGTTAGCACTGATCTTTCCCAGCAGCAGTCCACAGTAAGTCATGTTACAGTTTAAGGCAGATGACTCAGCACACCTACGGGGCACCCTCTGCTCAGTTTCTGTTGTTTCAGTGTATACAGCTCTTAAGAGCATTACCTGCTCGTGTGTTTTT